GCAGCTTTCTCTTGCCATTACTGTTTATTTCAGCGGCCTCATCAAATCCATCTTCTTCTTTCTTACCAGCCACATCATCCTTAGAGGCATCCTCCTTATCAACAGAAGTATCAAGAATGTTTACTGTTGGAAATACTTCGTCCTCCTTCGCAAAGGTCATCTCTTCGAGTCCATATGGGTCAACGCTACCCAGTGGATCATCCTAACAATAAACAGCATCAGTGCCTCGGATAAATTAATGATATTTTACTCTTTGAAAGGTGCTCCTTAGGAAAAGACCAAAACAAGTAAAGGAAACTAAAGAGAGAAAATTTGTCGGGTAGATTTCTTGGGTTTCTTGATAGTCAATCTTGATAATTGCAAATCAAATACGGGAGATAATTACAGTAATATGAGCATCCCTTTGAATGGGGTTAAGCCATGACCCACCAAGCAAGATGACACATGTAAATGATTCAACTAATTACTTGAAAGAATAGGTGGACAGCCTAAATTCCAATTAAAATAGCAGGAACCGAGAAAGAATGATTGATTCGATGAACAGAACAAAACCTTACCTGAGGAGCCCATGCTCCAAGAGCTTTGTCCCATTTATATCTAGTTCCATCGTCATCCGTGAACTCCTTTTCCCCCTCGGGTGGTGAAGAAGCCCTGTCATGATCATCTTCAACAAACTCAGTACCAAAGCTACCAGAGACAGAACCATTTTTCAACCTCTCAGCCTCCGCCTCTGCTTCTTTGATCTCTCTCTGCCATTTATCAAATTCATCCTCAGTACTAGTGGAGGCTGCAGAAACAACATAATGTGGTAAGCATCATCCTCACTTTGTAATTATAACATTGAAGAATTCATTCTGTCTATATAACTGACCAGTATTATCTTGCTTTTCTTCCTTGGTTCCAGTGTTTGATCCATTTATCAACCCAGATGCACCTGCTCAGATATCAAATAGTAAATGCCATAGATCCAGGAAAAAATAATTGTACTAGAAAAAAATGCCACTGGTGAAAAGGATCGTACCTGTAGCTTGAAAGGCAACCTCAGCTCCAGAAATCCTTGACATCAACTCGGGGATGGAAGAAAGTGGTTGCCATTCGCTTCTTCCTTCAGCCCAGACTAGGGTAGTTCCTAGTAGGTAACCATTCCTGAAATGGTCTGTCAAGTCAAAGCAATAAACAAAGTAGCATTTAAAGCTCGTTACAGAAAAAGGTACAGGTCGGAGAACTGTCTTGAAACCATGTTATTAATTACTTGTTTAATCGAAGTTTGAGAAAAAACATTTCATATCAAATTTCACGGTACATACAATCTTAATATAACCAGACTTTTATTACAGAGATAAGGAAATGCCTGTAGATCCAATTTATTTACTCAGCTGTTTGTTGCAGGTATCAATTTTACGGACAGTCATAGATGTCTTGTAAACCTTAACACAGCAATGAATTTGTGTACATGAAACACTCACCACAAAGCTCAGAGAAGGTATATGGCCCCAAGTTTTGCTGATTTTCGCCAAGAATGTACCAACCAACATCAGTAGCTGCAAGTGTACGGCCATCAACAACGCTTAACCCTAGATTTAAGAGAATACAGATGAGCAAACAGTGTCCCCTAACGAAAAAAATGCGTAGATGTAACTATCACTACCATGACACTTTGTTACAAACAATGCATTAGCAACTTCTCTTAAAAGATAAAGCCAAATCATGAACCGGAAAATACAATCATTATGAACTAAACGACCACAAATCTATCAAATTTTTCATCACCGAATCAATCAATGATCCTTCAAACCCTAAGAACCTTCTCACAATAAAACCAGAAATTCCTAAATCCCTCCCAGTTTTTTATCAACAGAACTTCTCCGAAACCGCTACTTTTACAACACACGCCTCCCACAAACCCCCAAACGAAGAAAGTATACCGTAAAAATTTGAACTAGAGAAAGAAGAAGACGGTTTCACCTGTCGATGATGGTGGAAGCTGTAGATTATCGGAATCGGACATTGTTTTTTCTCTTCTCTCGTTAACCTTCAAAAATCACGAACACTTGTGCGAAAAAAAAGTCGGAAGCCGGAGGAAGACGGTAGAAAGTCCCTTGATTGGATACAGAGAATCTCTTTTCTCGGATAAACATAAAACCAATATACGGCCCACACGGCCCATTGGGCCTCACTTGTTAA